CCCCTGCCCAGGGGTCGGTGGGTTGGGGGAGCCGCGGCTTTGTCAGCAACGACTCCGGTGCCTTTTGAGCTTTGCCCTAGTGACTGCCCGACGCCCAGGGAGGGCGTGTGGCTGTGGCGCAGCCGGTGACGCCGGGAAGGGGACCGAGCGGTACGCGTAGAGGGGGTTCGGCTGTATTTGTCGTAACTGTGGGAGCCGGGGACCTGACTGTCACACTGGGATCTTACAGCTCAGGGGAGCAGGGAGGGCTTGTGCTTGCAGCATGGCTTTCTGATGTGTAATTTCCTGCCTGTGACAGCATTGCTTATGTTAATTATACACAGGGCTTTTCCTAACCTGTGTTTTTCCTATCTTAGCTTAAAAAACCCCCACACTGTAAGGTGCTTTGGGCATAGCTGCTTCCACTTGTTATGCTGGTTATTACGGTCTTACCCATTGCATGAGTTGGGGGTGAGGGCTCGGCTGAGCTAAAGGCTCTCGCACTTTAATCTTTGTAATGTGCCAGGTGTTCCCAGAGTGACCGTGGCTTTGGAGAGCAAAAAGATTGCGTGATCTATGTGTCATCTTCTTACAGTCCACAGAAGCTTTGGAATTCATGAAGCGGGACCTGGCTGAGTTCACTCAAGTAGTGCAGCATGATACAGCCTGCACTATCGCTGCTACGGCCAGTGTGGTCAAGGACAAGCTGGCAGTGAGTATAGGAGTAAGAGAGCTGGGGTTCTTGTTGTAGAAAGCAAAGTGGGGGGTGAATAGCCTCTGAGGACACGATCCTCTGAGCAAACCCCAGCGTGTAACCGCGAGCTTCAGGTTTCAGACTTTCTCCCCGGTGCGGGTTTGGTGCTGAGCACTGTATGGAATTTCCTTGCTGTAGAGGTGAGGAACCTCTGGAGACGAGTGGAGACAAGTTCCCTGTGCTTTCCCTCTCCCAGCATGCTGTGTAGGTGGGATACTGGCCGTGGTGCTGCAGTATGACATCAGATTCTGCACAAGCTGTCAGCCTTAGCCCCGCACAGCTGCCGCTGTGACAGTCCAACCCCCAAACCTGGCTGCGTCCTTCCCCTCAAAGCCTAGGCTCAGTTCCAGACAAACCTATTACAAGGCCTGCCTGCCCCACCGCCACCTGAGGCTAGTGCCTGCCACCACACCCTTCTCCTAGCCCAGCCCTGGCCACACAGTTGCCTTGTTAGTACTTTTTTGAAGGGAGAGACATCCTGCTTCCCTAAAGGAACCTGTCCAGAAAAGACTGAGACTTGTCCTGCTGCTGCAGGTACTGTTACTTACACTATGCTGCTTTTTCTCTTCAAGAGGACAGAAGTTTCCTCAGGTGCGACTGAAAAGGTGAGGAAAGGGCTCTCTGACTTCCTGGGTGTCATCTCGGACACATTTGCTCCCTCGCCAGATAAGACCATTGACTGCGATGTCATAACACTGATGGCAACACCTACAGGTACCACAGAGCCCTATGACAGCGCCAAGGTGAGTGCCCCGTTCCTGGAGCTTCTCTCTGGGGTGTGGAGTCCCGAGCCCTGTCCTCTTGGGGCTCTGCTGCTGCCTCTCCACTGACAGCTCTGCCCTCTGTGTCTTCTCCTCCAGGCTCGCCTCTACAGCCTCCAGTCAGACCCAGCCACCTACTGCAACGAACCTGATGGTACGGGGGGGGCTTGGCGGTGCTGCTGAGCCTGGCTGGCCCTTGCGTGGGGGCTGTGGGCCATCCTGAATTGGCCAGGGCCTTTTGCCATTGGGCCTGCTGGTTTTGCTGTAGATGGGGTCACTGTTTGTGGAGAGCAGATCTGTCCATTGCACTGGGGACTAGCTGAGACTGAGAGTTTGCTGGGCCAGTTTAAAATGCTGCTACAGCTGGTGCTGTGTGGCCTTGTGCTGACAGAGGATCTGGAATGTGGGGTGGGCTTGTCTTCCTCTTCCTTTGCCCCTTGCTCACCCCAGCTGGTATGGTCCGTAGTATTTTTCCAGTGACACCTCCCAAAACTGTTCCTGCCCTGGTTGTAGCAAGGATTGTTATCTCTACTTGTCCTGTACAGGCCCTGCTGAGCTCCTTGAAGCCTGGCTCTCTCAGTTTAACCTAGAGGAGAAGAAAGGGGAGATTGCAGAGCTGCTGGCAACCAGCCCTTCCATCCGGGCTCTCTACACCAAAATGGTAAGGCCTTGTCTGGCTCCTGTAGTGGGCAAGTTTGGGCTTGGGGTATGGCGTGGGGAAGCCCTGAGCTGCTCAGGTGCTGGAGTTTGGTGGTAGAAAGGGTAGCTGCAAGGCTCAAGAGGAGAGGGGAGCAAGGCAGCAACCGCAGCCCTCCCTCTGAAGTGACTCATGGTGTTTCTGGTGTTACTTCCAGGTCCCGGTGGCTGTTTCCCATTCTGAATTCTGGCAGCGCTACTTCTTTAAAGTGCATCGCCTGGAGCAGGTAGGTCAGGAGGTGGGTGTCTCCCCCTGTGGGTGGGCACTCCAGCCAAGGAGTTCTCTAACGCAGACCAAGGTAGAAGATCCTTCTCCTGGAAAAGCAGGGATCTGGGCTGCCTTGTCTGTGTTCTTGTTATCACTGATGCTGAAATGCTTGGGGGAAGAAAGGACTGGGGACGTGAGTCGCTGCTGACACTGAATTCCCTGCAGGATGAAGCCCGGAGGGAGGCGCTGAAGCAGCGAGCGGAGCAGAGCATTCACCAAGAGGAGCCAGGCTGGGAAGAGGATGAAGGTGGGTCAGATGGTTGGGGATCTGTGGGAGGGCTCGTGCAGACCTTGCCAGGTCTCAGTTAGAGAGGGTGGTGGCTCCTCCTTGCTCCCACAAATTCAGCTCCCAGCCCAGCTGCAGCCAACCCTGCTGCACTCTCAGCTGCTGCTGTGCTTGCTGAAACATCTCTCGCTTCTCTTCTGCCTTCCTACAGAGGAGTTCTTGGGGATGTCACCCCTGCCTTGTGCAAACGTGAAACTTCCAGAAGCAGCAGAGAAAGAATCTGCCCCTGCAGCCCTGGAGGGAAGCCACCTCACTGCTCACAAGGGACCCTCTGCGGAAAGCTGGGCTGTCCTCCCTCCGGAGCCAGCCCCAGCAGAGGGGAGCCCCTCTGAGAGTAGTGAGAGCATCTCCCTTGTGACTCAGATTGCAAACCCTGCCTCTGTGCCTGCTGCGCAGCTACAGACTGGAGCGCAACCACCTGGGACCAGAGACTGGCGGAGCGCCCCCCCGAAAGAGCGGACCTCCCTGCCAAAGCCCCCAGAACCCGGTCGTCTTTCTGCACCTGCCCGGGAGTCAGCAGCATCCTCAGAGCAACCGGCTGTTACAGAGCTCAAAGAGGGGGAGAGCAAAGCCCAGGGCAGGACAGGGACTCTGAAAGAGGAGGGACCAACAGATCTACGAATCTTTGAGCTGAACTCGGATAGTGGGAAATCTACTCCCTCCAACAACGGCAAGGCAGGTGTGTATGTGGGGCCAGCACAGGGCCTGGAAACCTTCTGCAGCTTTTTGGGGGAAAGGGCTTTTATTTTTTTTTTTTTTTTTTTTTTTATTCTGGGGGAAGAGGAAAAGGATTTTGCCAAAATCATCCAGGAAGCTTAGATCCAAAGACTGTCTAATGGCCAAAACTAAAGTGGAAGCAACGGGCAGGGTCAAATGGGTCACATCAGATGGTGACAATCTGTTCTCAGTGGGCAGCTGGACCGGTGTCACCGCTGGCTTCGGCCTGAGCCCTGTTCCTGGTGCTCCTTCAGGAGAACGGAGGGTGCGACTCCTCCAGGACCCTGTGGAGGGACGTGTCGCAGCTCTGGCTGATGCTGTTTACAAACCTTCCATTGCAGGGGATTTGGGCTTGGGGTATGGCGCGGGGAAGCCCTGAGCTGCTCAGGTGCTGGAGTTTGGTGGTAGAAAGGGTAGCTGCAAGGCTCAAGAGGAGAGGGGAGCAAGGCAGCAACCGCAGCCCTCCCTCTGAAGTGACTCATGGTGTTTCTGGTGTTACTTCCAGGTCCCGGTGGCTGTTTCCCATTCTGAATTCTGGCAGCGCTACTTCTTTAAAGTGCATCGCCTGGAGCAGGTAGGTCAGGAGGTGGGTGTCTCCCCCTGTGGGTGGGCACTCCAGCCAAGGAGTTCTCTAACGCAGACCAAGGTAGAAGATCCTTCTCCTGGAAAAGCAGGGATCTGGGCTGCCTTGTCTGTGTTCTTGTTGTCACTGATGCTGAAATGCTTGGGGGAAGAAAGGACTGGGGACGTGAGTCGCTGCTGACACTGAATTCCCTGCAGGATGAAGCCCGGAGGGAGGCGCTGAAGCAGCGAGCGGAGCAGAGCATTCACCAAGAGGAGCCAGGCTGGGAAGAGGATGAAGGTGGGTCAGATGGTTGGGGATCTGTGGGAGGGCTCGTGCAGACCTTGCCAGGTCTCAGTTAGAGAGGGTGGTGGCTCCTCCTTGCTCCCACAAATTCAGCTCCCAGCCCAGCTGCAGCCAACCCTGCTGCACTCTCAGCTGCTGCTGTGCTTGCTGAAACATCTCTCGCTTCTCTTCTGCCTTCCTACAGAGGAGTTCTTGGGGATGTCACCCCTGCCTTGTGCAAACGTGAAACTTCCAGAAGCAGCAGAGAAAGAATCTGCCCCTGCAGCCCTGGAGGGAAGCCACCTCACTGCTCACAAGGGACCCTCTGCGCAAAGCTGGGCGCTACTCCCTCGCGACGAGGT